AATAATCTTGAAAGAAGGACAGAGAAGATAGCTAAATGAGTGACAAAGTATTTTACCGAAGAAATATGGCAATCTTTCCATGCACACTGGTTGAAGGTCTGATAAGTTGATGTTAGGGAAATGAACTCTAAGATATGTATTCAAATGTTTCTTTTTCTTTCATGTGATTGTTTCTAACACATTTATAAGATGATTTCTTTGTTGCTTAGTATGTCCTTCCCCCCACCGTATAACCCCTGCTTTCACTGTATTTGATGTCCGTACAATTTGTGGAGGGGAAGGGAAAAACAAATCGTTTAAATAGGGACACAGGTGGACCCATTGCAACAATGAGATGTACAAGTCGTTATGTTGGAAATGAACTTTACAACTTTGGTGGTGGGGGGGAGGATGGGAAGGGATGGGAATGGGAAACAAAGATGGAAGCTACAATGCTTGATAAGAAATGTACTCATTATCTTGCCCATGTAATTGTAACCCCTCTGTACAGTATTTTCACAATAAAAAAATAAAATAAAAATAAAAAAATAAAATAGAATTAAAAGTAAGTGATCCAGTTGCTGGTGGCTCACATCTATAATCCTAGTAGTCAGGCTGCTAAGATCTGAGAATATCAGTTTGGAGTCAACCTGGGAAGAGACATATGAGGAACTCTTATCTCCAAATAACCAACAAAATGCCAGAAGTGGAGGTGTGGCTCAAGTTGTAGGTTGTCTGCCCTAAGCAAAAAAAGCCTACCAAGATACAAAGCTGTGAGATCAAGGTCCCAAGGGGAGGAGGATGTGGGGAAGAAGGAGGCGGGAGGAGGGAGAAGAGGGGGAGGAAAGGGTGGGGGAGAGAGGAGGGGGAGGAGAGAATGAGAACTCAGGAGGCTGCAATCTGGAGTATTAAAGATTGATGTCAGTACACTTTATTAGACATTACTAGACTTCATCTCCAAACTAACTATTCCTGGCTAGGATATAGCCCAAGTGGTAGAGCATTAGCCTAGCAATGTGAAGACTATGAATTCAAACCCCAGAACTGCAATAAGAAAGCACACAAATACAGCCTTTTGCCCATTTACATAAAGACATTCATGCCACAAAGATACTGCTAGATTCTTCAGAAGAAGACAGAACACCAAGCAGCTAAAAAAAAATCTCCCATGATATTCCTTGCTCAACAAAGCTCTCAACATTCCAAAAACTCTACGCTATCATTTATTTTTTTCCAAATATTTTCTTTCTGAGAATAGCCTTTGGGAAAATGTCTTCTAAGAAGATAACTACAGGTCTTAAGGAAACATTTAAAAATTAAATACTCGAAATAAAATGTCTTAAAATTTTTCTGCATATCATGTGAAATACTGTAAATATTGTCACTTACACAAACAAGAAGCCATTCAGTCAGAAAGCTAATGAAGGTTCCCACTATTCCATTTTTGTAAGTCATTAGCTTTCCAAAGTAAACTTCAATCTGAAGATCATCATCTTTTAGAGGAGAGAAGCATCTGTTTGTTTTTAAACCACTTTCACTCATCAGGAGGAACAGAGGTAGAATCTTACAGGAGATATTTTGATAAATGCTCTTGTATTTTCTGACTCAGAAAACTGAAATACATGTCTCACTTATTCCTGGCCCTGCAAGATAGCTGAACAAACTTTAGCTCATCTACTTAAAATGAATCCAATTTAATTCTGCTTGACCAAAAAAATCTGCTTTCATAGTTCTAAACATGCAATCAACCCAAAAGGACATTGATTGCCATCGTAGCTTAAGTGGTTCTGTGTTATCCATGAAAAAAAATCATACTCTGATTGAACCAACAGTCTAGTTACAGCTTTTGTGACAATAGAACAACCCTACCTGTGGATGAGGTTCAAAGGACAGATGCAGCATTTGATTTGTAAAGAACTTACAGACTTGCAACTAGTCCTGCGTATCACTCTCATATTTACACTTCCTGGATGTGGAGCCATTCTAACAAAGAAATACTTAAAGTTGTACATATACCAGTAATTTCTGTATATTTAGGGGGGGGCAATTGAAAATGAATTTTGAGGTAAGAAAAAAAGGTAACAAATTATTCTATTACTCATGAATAAATTTATTTTCTTTCCTCCTTGGTGTTCTTCTATAGAAGTGCATTGCTTAGAGAAAATCATGGTGTGAGGCCAGCCATGGACAAAAGTGATAGTCTACTGGAAAAATGGGGATATATAACTCTCAATCTGTAGAACACTTGAACCTCAATAGGACTTTAATTCAACCCCCAATACTGCCCCCCAACCACTATTGCCAGAATTGAATATTTGAAAGATATTAATTAATTAATTTGAAATTAATTAATTAGTTAATTTGAAATATATTAATTAATTCAAACAATCTGCTTGTTGTAATTGGCCTATGAAAATGCAAACATTTAAAATAACTTTATAAATAAACCCAGTAATACTTAATTTAAGTCAATATCTCTTCAAATGAACCAAGTAATCACTAATTGATTATATCATTTGGTTCTATAAACGACTGCTATCTTTACACACAGAATAGGCTTATAGTTGGAAAGACTTTTCACTGGTAATTAACAAGAAGTTAACTATTTTCTTTATCATCAATTAAAGTTACAAAGGGAATTATTTTTATCTCTGAGTATCTAGGTATTTACCCTTTCAATGAAACATTTATTTTGTACATTTAAAAATCTATCTCATTTCTTTTGTTTCTTTTGTATGTTCTTCCCCCACAGTATAACCCCTGTTTTCACTGTGTCTGATTCCTGTGTCCTGCATCTTGTATATACATTTTTATAATTTGGGGAGGGGAAGGGATATAACAAAAGGCTTAAATTAGGATACAGGTTGACCCATTGTAACAATGAGTTGTACAAGACACTATGTTGAAAATGAACTTTACAACTTTGGGGGGGAAGGAAGAAATGGGAAAGGGGGGAAGAAAAGGAAGGGTGGAAAAAAAAAAAAGAAGAAGGTAAAAAGCCCCAAAACAAAAGGAACCAATAACCCAACGAAGGTAACGGAAACCCCCCGGAAAAGAATTCCAACAAAAAAAAAAAAAAGGAAAAAAAACTATCTCATTAAGTAGCAAATAATAATTGTTAAAATACATTAAAAATGCCAATGACTCTTTCCTTATTTCAGAATATATCTGATTTATATAGGAGTTTTGGCAACCACAATTTCATTAACAATGAAATAATATTACTAAGTAAAAATCTGATTATTTAAAATTATTTTCACAGACACATTTCCAACCTTGAATTTATTTGAATGCACTCTTAAGCAGTATTTCATGTAAAGGGAATAGTCTGTTCATTTCTTTTCTCTGGATCAGATTTACTTGAGCCACTTGCTTATCATTAACTCTACTGGAAGTTAATCACAACAATATGAAATCATTAACAAAGTCCTAGGAAAGAATATCAAGCAGAGATATTGGGCAAATATCACAGGTTTTTATCCAAGTGATTATTACCATACTACCAGCAAGCTCATAAATCTAAACAAAATGGAAAATCCACATGATGCTGACCCAGCTAAGGACCAGTCCGTGAGGGTAGGAATTTTTGTTGTCAACAGATTACCAGGTCTAGAACACTGTCTGACATGTGTAGACAGTAACCAGTAAGTATATATTGCTTAATTGCCTGCAGTCAAACACAAATAGAAAAAGTAATAAAGGAAAAGAAATATATTAAAGGAAAATAAGTGCATATAAATGTATAATATGCAATACAGCCCTGTGCCACACTTAGGAATCTGCATGGTTTACAGATTTTTGGTCTTTTCTTCTAGGAAAGTTTTTTTCTTCTTCTCTTCTGTCCCTATCATTTCATCCTACTCAAAATAAAAATAAAAACTATTTGCTTTTTTGTGGGGGAGGGGTCAGGGAAATGTATGTTAATTAGTAGATAAGGGGCTGATATAAATAAAACTTGATTTCTATTACTTTTCAAACCTTATAGTCTTTTTCAAATCAATTTTAAAAATAATTTAAAAATAATTAGTGTTACCTCACTCTTTGAAAATGCAGTGTTCTAGAAAAGCAAAGATCATGTATTTGGAAAAGCTTCAGGTGTTACCTACTAAAGACATTTACTACTGACAGCAAAATAAAACAATCGAGTCCGGACCAAGAAATACGCAATTTAAAAATAATTATCCACTGAGTATGTGCAAAGGCCATAAATATCATTAGAGATCTAACAGTGTTTAATAGTCTTTCCACAGTCTTTTATCTTTGCATTTTCCGATGGAATATCAAGAAGTAAATGAGTATGTAATTTTTAGAAAGCAATAAAATAGGTGTGTCTTCATTGTATGAATTGATTTACAAATGTATGTTACATTTTTAAAATTTTGTCTTCCAAAAAGTTTTGATATAATACTTAACATGCTCATTAAAGTGAATTCTAAGTGAGAACAATTAGTCACATCTCATATAAAATATCTTAACTCAAGAGGTAAGTAATATACTTTATATATTTGTGTTTGATAAAGTAATGGCGAGTTTTCTTCATAAATATCAAGAAAATACACCCATTCTTCAACAAACAGCCACATGCCTACCAGTTTAAAAATTTCAGACTTCCAAACACAATAGAATTGTTCCAAATGATACTTCTTTAGGATTAAATTTACTTTCATTTTATTTTGAAGAAGTATTGACAATAACAAGCAAATCCCTTTGACTATTTAACTATTTACTTACTCGTTCATCAAACTTAAAAAAATGAAAGTTCTATGTCATTAGCAGATAGTCTTCCAAAGCCTGGGCTGGTCCACAGTCTCTGAATCAAACTAACAGCTAACCAATCAACATAAAGCCTTTTTAATCAACAAACCTCTAATCAACAACACATATACATTTCCTCACCCACTGAATCCATTGCATTAAGCAAGTCTCAAAGGAAGCCAGAGGACGGAAAACAAGCCATGCCAGCTAAAATCCCACTTTCCCATACAAAAACCCAAAGGGAAGAATCAAAGGCACAGGTTTACCTGGCTAATGGGTTCTTTCGTGGGAGGCTTTCCTCTTCTAGCTGTGCTGGTAGCCAAGGTGGTGGTGGTCTCCATGATTGAGGTGGACATCTCAGACTGCATGGCAGTGGCTGTCGACTCAGTTGTCATAGAGGAAGGCACTTCACCAACCAGTCTCACATTTCCCACTATGGCGATGTTGGCATCGTTTTCGGCTGCCATATTCAGAACCTTCAAGCCATTGTAGTAAAGCCCAGAGAGCTGGCCCTGGAAAGGCTGGCCCTGTTCTTTCCCGCCAATTATTATGGTTGCTTGGCTATTGAAGATTGTGAGCTGACGCCCTGTAAAAATAACATTACATACATGCAAAAATGTTGATTGTGAACACTACATTCTACAAAAGATGATAAAACAGATCTTTCATGGGGTGGATAATGAGAGCAATAAACTATAAGAGAGACGTTTGGCTCATAATTCATTGCTTATAAATGAAGTGTCCATGAAATGCATAGTTACTGGCAAATACTTGTAAATTCTCAACTTATTGTAAATGTCGTGCTTTTGCTAAAAGACCAATCAAAGATAGTACAAATCAATTTTTAGTAGATCCCCTTTCTTTTTTCTTCCAAGATCATATATTAGTGGTCTCTTAAGTCTTTTTAAATTTAAAAAGTGTGACATAGTTAACGTTTCAAGTATTTGTCATCCTGAAAATACCTCTGACAGAAACTCATCTATAGAAACTGAAGTCTAATTTTAAATTTTATGATAAATTTTTCATAATTCTCAAAATGTCCACATGTGTCTATATTCTAGTCTTTAGAATGTTTATCTTTTTGATGGCATTGTTATTTCAATTATTTGATTTTTTTTTCCGGCAATCACACTGAAAAGAAATGCATGGTTTATACTGAGCATGTCAGAGACAAAAAACAAAATTCCAAAATATTTTTTTCTGATTGGCTTTCAGCAAGTCTATCAAAATAAAATAAAATGAAAAAAGAAAAAGAAATAGCTTTAGATGTAAAAAGCGGCTTCAGGAATGATACACAAACCAATGGAGAAATTATGGCACATTTCCATCAAACAGCAATCCTTAGAAACAGTACCATGGTCATCAAATTGAGTATCCAGTTTTAGCAGATTTCTCTCTGCTCATAAAAAGCATGCACACAACTTTAAGTTCAGTTTTAATTAGGGCTGGTTCCCTTGAAGGTTGCAAACGTTAAAGGGACTTCATTTTGACTGGCAATCCATATTGCCCACTATTTAAGATTCCTAGAGTTTAAACAAAGAGTTGTTGTTTGGTTGTTTTTTGTTTTCAGGACCATAATAAAGATATCAGAACTACATGTATTTTAGTTAATAATTTAGAGGCTAGAATATGGAATATAATCTATGAATGATTTATCATTTTGGGTTAATGCTTGCTGTGAGTACCTTCATAGATTGAGTTAGTGGATTATATTTAACAGTCCCTTTAACCTTAAGTTAACTGGGTAAGATTATTAAACCGCTGATACGTCTAAAATGTATAGAAATTATTATACAAGGTATGCAAATATTACTAGCTACATTTTACTGTTTTAAATTTGTTTTTAATTTAGTTTTACGGAAAATTTATTTTTTATGTTTATTAGTGTTACAATGAAGTACTACTTGGTTATGTTCAAATTATTTTTTTATTTGAAGTTTTAATCAATGTTTTTTACCTTTGTCGAGTAGCCATTCATCAACTACTCGACCAAGTCGATATGGAATTCGCTGTCTAGCAATCGCCAGGCGCTCGTTATCATTGTTTCCTTTAAAGTTTAAAGAGACATTTCATTGGTTAAAATCTGTAAGGTCAAAGGTTAAAAGTTAATACTTAAAGCTTGAGCTATACAGTTGCCACATGATTTTTTGAAATTTGGAATTTTAAAAAGTTCTACCTAGAACACTTCATGTTTCAGACTTGTCATTCATTCATTTATTTTATTTTAGCAAACAAAATTATTCCTAAGTTAATTGAAAATTAGAAATCTGCATTTGAGCTAGGTTATTAAACTTATGTTATAGACAGACCCAAACAACCAATTTAAACAGCATAGAATAGCTTTACAAAAAAAATGACCATTGACCTCTGGGTTTTGTCTTTTTGATGTTTCTTATTAACTAGTTAAGCATGTTCAGCTGTAACAGGTTTAAGTTTTCAAAATACATTCAACCTCTTATTCCAGATTAGTAATTTATGAACACCAAATTTCACACCACTTTTGGCACACACAGAAGCATCAGCAATAGGCTCACATGCTTTATTTCCTATTGAAAAAACATATTTCCTCATTCATTTCTTTTAAGTAAACCACAAAGTCCAAATAGTTCTCCTGTGTTCTATACAAATTGGTTTATCAATCACATGGACATCACAAGAGATTTCATTTTGCATCATCCAAATATGTGTTAGGAACAGGCTTTGACAAAAGTGACTTTGTACACTCTTCAGTGTCAGGTGAAGGCTGATACTATTATGTTGAAGCATGGAATATTCGATTAAAATTATATGTATATTTTATACTCTCTAATATCTGCTTTTCTTTTATTAAGTTGTTCTACAAAATGTATGATTGCTTAAGGTACAAATACATGGCATAAAGAATGGTCCTATTCATAGATCTAAACTAAATGAAAGCTTCATTTCTTTGAATAAAAGCAGTCTACTAGAAACATTATTTAGTTTGACCTTGAATAATGCTGCCAAATACATGAGAGTTTTTCTTGATCTATAAATCATTTAGGAAGAATCTGGGCTGACATCTCAGGGTACAATTGTGTACATTGCAAGGAGAGACTTTCTATTCTATGAAAATTAATGAAATTTTGAGCCAAGACATTTTGGCAATTGCTTCAATGAGGAGGAAGAGGTGAAGGAAATCTTATATGACAATACTACCCACATAAAGAGATTGGTGTCTTTTGTTATGAAAAGCATAGAGTATGTTTCTTTTCTCGGAGTCACAATACTTTATTAGTTGCTTTCACTTTTTTAATGCTCTACTTATCAAAATAAATATAGCCTAATATTGGTCCTACCCTTTTGGAGAAATACAAATGTCTTTTAGGCTTTATCAATTAGTCATTCTGATGGTAATATTTCACACACTAGTATTTAATCTAAAATGTAGCTATCAAAGTTAAACAAAATACGAACAATAAAAACATTGTATTGTGTAGTCACTTAAGTAGTGTAAAATTGTATGTTATAAAGTGGGAATATATTTGGATGAACTGATAACTTTTTAAAATGATACAAATCATTTAAAAAACTTCCAACTTGGTTGTCATTACAAAATTGTTCTCTTTTGTGTGCCTGAATATGTATATTTTGAAAATATGCTAACAAGTGTAATGTTGGTTATTTTAGGGAAGTGTGATTATTGTAGAATTATGTGTTTTTGTCTTATGTATGATTTATATAATGACTCCAATGTATATGCATAATTTCTTTAATCAAAAATGCATATCCTTTCTGTGGACTTCTTTGTTACACAATATTCACACCCATTTATTTGGGTGTACATTTCCTGTCAGCCTTATGATTAGTTGGGCCCCCATGCTATTTTTCATGCCAGGGTGTTCCCATCATCAAGAATGACCCACTTTTCTCCCAGATGCCATCCAAAGTCTTCTTGCCTAATTCATGTCACAGTCCTTAACAGGATTTCCTGAATCTTTCTAAATAAATCCCACCCACTTTCTACAGACCAATCAATGACTAATCATACCACTAACATACAATTCATCTAATTGCCTTCAAGGAAAAATATTTCATACTTTTAATTAGGTGTTGGAGGAAATCTATGATCTTTCCAACTTTACCTCCATCTCCTGACCATCACTGACTTGCTCTTCTGTTTTGAACCCCAGGAAACTCCCTCCAATTCTTTGAATGCTCTTCTTTCTCTTCTCTGGGACTTGTAGCTACTTTTATTGGAGGGGTTTTCTTTGCTCCTACCTCAACCCTATTTTTTCTAAGCTAACTATGACTTTTATTAATGGCTGAAAATTGCTTGCTCAGGAGCTATATACCTTGATCTCTTCAATTTGGATTAAGGCATCAGCCTAATCTAGAAGATTCCAGTGGCTCTTGACACATTCCTGTTAGAAATAAGCATTAACTTTATAATGTGTACTCAATACACACACATACACACACACAACTTTTCTATTAAACTCGGATAAAACATCACACAAATGTCTATGAAATATCTGTAGACTGAAATAAGATATAAATCTTGTTTTCAGTTCTGATAGTTTCTGTAGCACCATTCATCTACATGACTTAAAGGGATACAGAGAATGTTGGAAAGCAAATGCTTGTGTTCAGAGCATAGACCACATATACTGAGCTTCCTTCTGGTTATGAAACCAAAACATTAAGAGTTTATTCTGTGAAATTGATGTGTAATCAGATGGTGTTTTCTACAATTAAATAGATGTCTAACTTCTAAATTCTTTATTCTTCTACTACAATGAAAAATGAATCATTTCAGTGGTGAAATTCTACACACAAAATGCCATTAACTAAATGGACACAGCTACATAACAAAGAGATGACAATGTAATTTTGTTTTGTTTTGTTGGGGGGCAAGTTGTACTTATGTTGACCTAGCTGGCCTTGGACTCCTGTGCTCAAGGGTTGTTGAGGCTACCACAGAAATGAGCCTCAATGCCTGGCTACTCCTATTACTCGGTACAAAATACTTTAAATGGTTTAGATTCACCCGGATTTATCTCATAATTTTTATTAGAATGTGGAAAATGAAGTGTAGAAACTGAACTATTATTTTAAGTAATTTCTCAAATTGCATTTCATTTCTTTAAAAATTTATTGTATTAAATACACTAAAACTGACCTACCCCTCAGACTGAAAATAATTCTTAATGAGCATAAAACATATACTAAGTATTGTGTGCTAAATATTTGCATATGTTTTTATCATCTGCTAAAATGCTGTTCATTAAATATAAGATCACAGAGATTAAAACTAGAAAACAAGAAATAATGCAAGTGTTTAAAACATTACAGCAATAATCAATGTCAAAATACTCACAATTTTGTATGATTTCATTAATTATATTCAGTTTTGCTATAGTATAGCTCTGGATCTTATGGACAATATAAAGGTCATAAACTTTCAATTTGATTGGCAAATATCAAAGACAAATATAAATTCAAATTTTATTTTTATTTATCTGTCTCTTGATTGATTGATCGATTTTAGTTGGTTTGGGGTCTAATAAAAGACACACTTGCAATTCTGCTACAGTCAAAGAAGCAGGCCTAGACTGATAGGTGAAAGTAAAAAGACAGAAAAGACACTTCAAAATTCAAAGGAATCTTTGGAAAGAGGTATTTCATCTCTACATATTCTAAATTAGAGAAGAAGAGAAATCAATAATGATGGACTGCTAAATGATATATTCATTTTCTATTAGTACAAGAGACCAGGAAGAATTTGAACTTAAAATGGTTATAAAATTCAAAGAGTCACCATTTATTCACATAGATTCTATTTATGAAAACTGAGCACTGTAATGAATAGTTAAAAGATAACAATTCATTTTCATATTTCTTCTCCTTTAATAAAAGCAGAAAATAAGAATATCTTTCTGACTCTTTTTCCCTATAGGTAGCTTTGTGTGGTAACATACTAATTTATACTTCTACTCAGTATGGCCCCCTTAACATGCCTGTCTCCATGGAAGTAATTTGCAACCAATGGAACTTCATGAAAAATTTATGTTTATTGCTGAAGTATTTTTGCCTGAAAGAAATTGTGTCTCCCTTCCTCACCCAGAGTAACATCACTAAAACCAATTGACAAGAACAAGATCTAATTGGGTGTGGCCACATAGATATAGGATGCTGGATTTAATAGATACTTCAAACAAGATTCCAGGAGTGAAGAAAAATGGAAAGGAAACTCTGATCCTTCATGGAATGTAGCACTTTCTATTTTAATTAAATCTAGTTGCATATTCCCTCATGTGCAGATCAGTTATTTTTACACACACACACACACACACACACACACACACACACACACCTACACACACTGCCTATGTTTAAACCTAATTTCTAACATGATGGTATTTGGAACTGATTGGGTCATGAGATCAGAGCCCTTCTGACTGGGACTGGAACCCTTATAAAAAGGCCCCAGAAAGCTCCTTTGCTTCTTTCTACTATAGGAGAATCCAGTGAGAAGATGTCTGTTGGTAGTACAGGAAGTCAATCTTCATCAGGCACTAAGTCTGCTGTTGCATTTAAGAGCAATTGTGAGATATGTATTTTTGTTGTTTAAAAGCATCTGTATTTATTGTACTTTGTTTTAACAGCCCAAAATGACTTAGACACAATGCATAAAAAAAAATTATTGGGACTGGGAAGGTGGCTTAGTGGTAGAGTGCTTGCCTAGCATGCATGAATCCCTGGGTTTGATTCCTCAGTACCATATAAACAGAAAAGGCTGGAAGTGGTGCTGTGGCTCAAGTGGCAGAGTGCTAACCTTGAGCAAAAGAAGCTCAGGGACAGTGCCCAGGCCCTGATTTTAACCCTTAGGACTGGCAAAAAAAAAAAATCTTGGTTGTACTTGATGGTGGTAATTTTATGAGTTAGGAGACTTTAACAAAAAAAAAAAATTGAAAGAATCAAGGTAATCAGCAAGGACCAATAAAACTAAAATCTTTCACTTGGGGTTAAACTTTATGGTAGAACCAGATAAAGGAAAAAGAAATTCGGATGGCAATTTTATACCTT